CCCCCCCCCCCCCTTTCTTGCTCTCTTTCTCGTATAGCCTACTATCGAAAAACATCTAACTCGTGTTATCTACGCGTAAGAGCACATCGACGTACTGTCAGGACGGTCAAGCATCACTCTCGAAACAAAGCGTGTTCGTTCACTTCGAAATTCGTGCCGCGACTCTTGGAAATCGGCAGGCGCGCGCGCGCACGTTCTTCGCGCCGCCGAGCGATCGAGCTCGGGTAGCTCGATTTTATCGAAGAGAGGACTGACTCTCTCTCTCTTCTTCTCTCTCTCTCCCTCGAGGCTCCCGGTTGCCCCATGACCGCGGTCTCGGTTCTCCGTGTCGCGCGAAAAACTCGGTTTTTCCCGGGCGAGAGGCTCGTACGATCGCGGCGACGCGGAGCGATCGACGGAGAACCTCGCGACGAGGATGTATACGTCTTCGGGCGCGAGCGAGTTCCATCCCCATCCGACTCCGTTCCCGCGCGACGCGTTCTGTTCCCTCTTTCTTCTTCTTTTCCCTCTCTTTCTCTCTCTCTCTTTCTCGTTTTTCTTCAGACAGAACCGAGAATTTAAGCACGCAAAGCCCGCAACGGTCGGCGACGTCGAACGGAAAGAAGTGTTACGCGACACTTAAGGACTATAATAGATTTTGGTACAAAAATTTAATGCTGCGTCTACGACGTTAGAATATCTTAGACGACGTCTATTATAATCGGTTTCGCCGTCCCGCCGTCTCGTCTATCTTCCTCCTCGCGTTTAAGTCGAGTCGTAACTCCTCTCTCTCTCTCTCTCTCTCTCTCTCTCTCTCTTCCATCGTCCTTTCTCTCATTATTTTCCGCGGTGAAGCAAAAGGGCGACGGGGACGAGCGCGGAATCACGTTTGTGCCTTCTTCCACCCGGCGATGGGGAGGTTGGCTCTCGTTAAGGGTTAGAGAAAAGGGCGGCGAAATTTCAATTCGCGACGGGGTCCCTTGCGCGAGACCCGGGCCCCCTTCCCGTCCGGCCGACGTCGGAGCGACCACCTAGGCGAGGCGCGTTAAGAAGAACAGGCAGAAACGATGTGAAAGAAAGTGCGTCCCCGCGATCGACCCTTTTTTTTATATCTTAAAATGCGTCATTTGACCAACGCCTCGTTGCGTCAGTCCAACGAACTGCTCGCAGTTTGCGTGTACGTGTACGTGTGTATGTGTGCGTACGTGTTATGCACACGTGTTAATTAATTTTCTCTCATTCTCTCTCTCTCTCTCTCTCTCTCTCGCTCAGTCTTTTCGTCGCTCTCACGCAAAGCAAGCACCCCAAAGCTACAGGCGCACGTTTCTCGCATCTCTCGAGCTCGAGCACACGCACACACTCGCTCGCTCGCTCGCGCAGTCACCCCTCGTTGGGTTATTTTACGTCCGACAATATATCTGCACTTTTATATCCGTTAGTTCTCTTACGCTAGGCGTTAATTAGTGTTACATCTAGTCGCGTGTGGCCGGCCCGTGCTATCCACAAGTGAGCGTGCTCGCGGAAAAACGCGCGCTCCGCTTTTCCCCGCGCATGCTCGTGCGCACCGGGGCGCCTGGAAAAAAGCGTGCGCGCCGGTGCCGTTTCCGATCTTCGTGGCCTCTATCTCGCTCTCTCTCTCTTTCTCTCTCTTTCTCTCTGTCTCTCTCAGTTTCTTTTCTCTCGCCTCTGCTTCCTCACCGATCTATGCTAAAACAACGATGCGCCGTGGCGAGCCGATGATCTCACAGTCGGGGAGGCTCGCGGGTCGCGGCCGCGCGGATGGAAATTTCGACCTCCGGAATACTCCGACTCGAAATTTTGGCCTCACCTTGCAAATTCCGTCCAACTTGAAGGACCAATGAAGAATATAATAGAAGAATATAATAGAAATATAACGCCGCCCAGGCTGTTTTCTATTTTCATACGTATGGTTGTTTATTGTCGTTTTATCCATACTGAAGAAGCTCGAAAAAGCACCTCGAAAATTACTTAATATATTTTTATTTTTTATTTTGTTATTTTTGATATGTTCTATCTCTGTTCAATTTTTATTCATAGTTTCAGTCAATAATGTATTAATGGTATCATTTACTCAGCTGCAAATAGAGCGTGTGAGGTAAGCGAGTATTAAATAATCCAATAAGAATTAAGGTGTAAATGTGTATAAAAGCAACATACTTTATCCTCATAGTCTCCCCTTTTGTTTTCTTTTGGCGTTGGAAGTCTCAATGGAATTTAAAACTCTTAAAAGAGCTAATAAGCAAGGAACTATGTGTGTGTGTGTGTGTGTAAAGGCAAAAATAATAAAATAGTTATGTAGTCAATGCTGCATTTGCCGACAGAGATTTAAATGGAAATGAAAATAAAGCGCTGACAAACAAACAAAATCGGATTCATGATCTAAAAAGCATTATTAAACATAAATCACAGCAATTGTGAGATTTACGTTAAATTCTGAGCTAATGTTAATTGTAAATTATTTATTTACTATCTTCGATTGAGACTATAATTATCACAATCATATTCATGAATTGTTATTCGGTTGTTTGGATCACGTTGCTTGTATAAAATAATTTAATGACTACAGATATGTGTATACAAATTTACGAGTAAGTAAAGATTCATAAAGCTATAATTACTTGTCAAATAATAACAGTGTATGAATATCGGTTTAAATTTCGACTCTGGTGTCTCGTTATTCCCGATAAGTTCATCAAACGCCATTAAAACGTAATCCTCCTTTATAATAAATCATTTGACATATTTTGAAATATACAACATCGCTGTCCGCGTCCTGGTTTCCCGATTCAGCATCCTGGCTGCTCCATTATGACACAGACATTCACAAAAATATTGTTTGATTGGAGAGACGAATGTTAATAAACACGATATTGACAAGAGCCCGATTAAACAATTCAAGAATCGACGAAATATTTTAATCAATCGACGAGAATGATAAACAACATACCGATATACGTGCTCCGTGTGTATGAGTACCGCTCGCCGATGGAGCGTAATGGAAACACTCGGAAAAGCGCGCGAGAATAAGTTCAATCCCCTTCAAGGCCCGGATTGTTTTGATTGTGAAATCACTTGGCACTCAGTATCGAGAGGCTACGGTTGACGATTGATGGGAGAGAATAAGCTTACTTTTTGCTGATTGTCTCGATACTCTCGCGTGTCACATACTTTTTTCCGCAACCGAGCGTTACATTACATTTGACGTCAAATGTTTCGTTGACTCTTGAAATATTTTATCACACTCCCGGCAACATCGCATTAATTAATAAAGTGTTTTTTTCCCGAACAAATTGTATCTATACGAGTATCAGTGCTAGAAGCAGGTTGCTGAACCGGGAAACCAGGTCGGAGGTCGCAAGATGTCGGGATGTAGGCGGCGACAAATCATATATTTCTAGTGCGCATTCCCAATAGCAATGAGGAAATAATGATAAAGAGCGATCAAGAAGAAGGAGAATTCGTTGTTCCATTCGTTCGTTAACCCTACTATTCGTATTAATTATTTAATATTTGCTTATCGTCACGCAATCTACCTGCATTTGAGCAAATTACACAATTAAGACATTGCTTCTTGAAATTAAGAATGGAGAGTAAGACGGATAGAACATTGGCATAATTCAATATTAAATAATTCTGAAGTAAATTTTCTTAAGGATAATTCAACGTGGAGGATGAGCATAAAGTGACCATTCGTAGCATTAAGATAATAGCCGGAAAATAGCCTGTATAATGTTATATCTCAAGATATTCTGCCTTGGTCCCTCAAATTCGACGGGTTTTGTGCGGTTAATCTGGAAGCAAAATTTCGATTAGGCTGATGTACCCGCGAATCTTCTCCCCTCACTCCGTCCCTTCCTTCGTTTTGTTGTTCGTCTTTTCTTAAGAACATCGTATACGTGTACGGGCGACATCAACTTGGTCGTATCGTTCTATCCCTCCTACTCGTCGCCTCGTTGGCCTCCGATACCGTATTATCGTGATTACCGAGCCGGTTAGCACGGGCGGCCAGACCCATATTTATTTTCCAATACGTGTTTTTACGATCCGGAAAATTACACAGTAACGTTATTTAGTTTATTTCTTGTTTCTTTAGTGTAACACGTACGGCATATCATTAATTAACGTTACGTTATTTATACGCTATGTATTTACAATCACATGAATCGTAGATATTCTAACGAATCGTTCGTCTCCTGCCGCTGTCCTCGTGTCGACTCACGATACATTCGCCTTCAACTTCTTCCTATCACTTTCTTTATCTCCCTCCCTCCCTCTCTCTCTCTCTCTCTCTCGTCTTCCCACCACCACCTTCCCTACACCTCCTCGCATTCTGATCTGCTGCGCGCGTGTATATTTGTTCTTCGGGACTTTTTTTCTATAAAAAAAAAGGAAAAAATCCTCTCAACGAGAACGTACACCTTACGTATCCGCTTTATGTGCGCCTCTCGTTCGTGCGAGCTGAAACTTGTTCAATATTCAACACCCATGTGCAACGTATTTGAGCGCGTACACATATACATATATATATATTTCTGTTCGTTTGTATATATATTTATATATATATTTATTTATATATATAATATTATAAAAAACAGTATTCTCTAGTACTTGCGAGAAGAAAGCAAATTCGCGGCGGGCGCGCGAGCGCCCGCCGGAAAGCTGTACCGTTCGTCCGCTAAATTATACAACCGATCATGCTCAGAAACGGCGCGCCGCGGGCCGGGACGCCGTCGTGGGAACGCGCCTCGTGTGCGATGATGTTGTAAAAAACCGTATGTCCGTATGTGTCGAAGGGACGACGTACCGCGGGACGACGAGATGGGACGCGTTTGACGCGACCGATCGCGAAAACGAATTTCCTCCGAGGAGAATAATCGAGGATGGGATTTGGGATACGCGTTGTCGCGCGCGACAGAGAGAGAGACGTTCTCCGCGCTGCGTATACGTGTGTATAGAGGTGAATTTGTAAATTTTCGTATAGAAAACCGATACGCGATGTGCGATAAAGAGGAAAGTTGTGCGACGCGTTTCGGAGGATTCCTCGCGGGAAAGAATAAAAAAAAAAACGGAGAGAAAGAAAACACGAACGCGGGCGTGGAATCGCGAATCTTTCGATCTTCCGAGTGGTTAAGTGTGTATGTGCGCGTGCTCGTGAGAAAATCTTCTTCCTATGTATTCCTAAGGGATCTTTCCTTCTCCTCTCTCTTCCTCTCTCTTTCGATTTCATGTATACATATAAAAACGCGACGTTCCCACGAAATCTCGAGACGATGCGCGTCGGTGAGCGATTCATCAGTACAGTGAAGACGCATCCGTTCTCTCGTGTGCGGCCCGCGTCGCAATGGATCCAGTCTGTGCATGGGCGGACGTATGATATATCCCGATCGTCGTGTGTATACTCAATGCGCTTTTAAATACTCCCCGCAATTTAAAACGTTCGTCCTCGCGCAGATCGTCGCGAGACGCTCTCGTCGCCTTCGAGAAACGGCTAAAGTGTTTCGTAAGTAGATAGGCAGTGATAATTATCCCGGTCGCGATATATTCTCGCCGGAGCGAGGGAGGTCCGCGACGAGCCGACGACTTTGTCGAGCCGCGCTCTCGTCGTGCCCTCGTCCTCGCTCGATTCTCGTCTTCCCGGACGAACGGAGCGCGATCCGCGTTCTTTCGCGTCATCGTCATCATCGTCACGCGCGAAATAACTTGTCATCGTCATCGCGCGGCCTTCTCCGAATCACCGTGTGACCTGTGCGCTGAGAATTATATATCGGTGTACAATATCGCGACTGCGACTGTGAGAATTTGATATGGCGCGGCGTCGCTCTGATATGAATTCTTCCCAATGAGATCTCGCACGGAGGAGAGTTTCCGACTCTACTCTACTCATTTTCTGCCCGGGCTTCTTCCTCGTTTTTCTCTTCTCTTCTCTCTCTTTCCTTCTTCCCCCCCCCCCTTTTTTTTCTTTTTCTAAAGAACCAACCCGCTGATCGATAAAACGAATTTTAAAAAGAACTTTCGTTACCTTGGGCGCGCGCGCGCGTATCGACAAATCGTCCAAAGGACGACACGGCCGAGATCGCTCGGTCTCAGGACGATCTCAAATCGCGCGGTAAGACGTCGAGTATAGACACGCCTTATTGATCGGTCGCTATCGAATATAATTAATCACATCGCATTTCGAAAATTCATCGAACAAGTTTCAATTCTGTCTCCGAGCGGCGCGGACGAAGTGTTTCTTTTTTTTTTTCTCTTAATCTGCTCCTTCCACTTTCCACCCTCACGACGATTCTTTCTCCAACGTCGTCATACCTCGTCGACGTGTCTACCTGTGGCCTTCCGATCTCTCTCTCTCTCTCTCTCTCTCTCCCTCTCTCTCTTTATCTCAGTGTCTCGCATTTTCATTTCTCTTTTGCCGTGTATATTTCTCGTCACGTTACCGCGTTCTTGTTCCTCTAACGGACGCTACGAAACCACTCAACGCCCTCGCGACAGGATCTCAGCGACCGCGATCGTTTCTAGGACACTCCTTTCTTCTCGATACTTCGTAATCCTTTCTACCCTTCACCGGGCCAACGAACGGGCGGTTCGCAAAAACGATTCCGCGAGCGCATGGACGCGACAAGCTCGAAATCATCTCCGAGACATTCAACCGAAATTGTCTCGAGCGACGTCTCGTCCGGTAATTTGGCTCTGCGCGTATTGGAATTGATGAAAAAGGCGTTGATCTGGCAGAACAGTTTCGTATAAGAAAACCAAAATTAGTCCGGCGCTTTTCATCGAGGATTCTTAAACGTGCGCGCGTATTCACGGACCACCCGTCGTCGTCTACTTTGTCATCGTCCGAGCCCGGTCTGATTTGCATTCCCGACGACGCCGTTACAGCGTCGTCGACGGAGTTCCTTCGGCCCACTCTCCAGCGCGTTCAAGCTCCCGCGGCAATTCAACAAGAAATTCATATAATTAACTAATCCCTAATTTCTAACGGCCGGATCGCTGTCTCGACGATAGTCGAGATGAATCTCTAACTCCTTACTTCGCGCACGGAGAAAAAACATACTACCTCCGGAATCATTATTCTCTCTTCCGATCCCAATCTATCGCGCTACGTTACTCTCTCTCCCTCTCTTTTCCCTGATCCTTCCGCCCGTCCGCCCTTTTTTCCGTCCCTAATCATCTCGGGGAAATCGGTCCGCAGAACGTCGAGGATCTCTTCTCTCGAGGTAGTCGGGGTCTCGTAGCAGGAGATAATCGATTATCGCGTATACCATCCACACACCGGTCTTGCCTGATTATCGTTCCGTCGCAAAGTAAGATGGATTTTTCGAGTAGAGTACCATGAGGAGCAGAAGAGCGAAGACGAGCTGGCGGCTGCCGTGACTCGAGTACAGTGTCACCACACCTGCCAGCCACCAGAGCGTCGGACAGCCACCCGGTGCCGAGCTGATGCCTCTCTGTATCGCGGCGGGATGCTCCCCTGGAAAAGCGCCCGACATGTTTGCGTCTGGTTGAGTGACAATGAGCGACGAAAAATCGGAAATGATCAATTTTCGCTTGCATTCACGCCGAAAACCAACAGCCATCGTTAACTCTAATTAATGTTATTCATCACCATTATTGTATTTATATATCGTTTAAAAAGTCGTTACATAACATGGATGTAGGAATGACGATTCTATGAGTGCTGAGTTACACGCGATGAATCTAAGCTCGAAGAAGGAGAGGAACGCAAGTTAAAATTCTCTCCTCGTAGAAGTAAGAAATAATTAATTGCAACTACGACACTGATAGAAAATTATAGTTAGTTTCAGCGCCGGACACGTTCATACCCTTTAATCACAAAAATAACGAAGAGAACCGTATTTCTAGTAAATGTTACTATCATTGTCAGTGATAACAATAACTATAATCGTCTATCGGTGCATCCTCCGTGGCTCTCACTGGCTCGAGAATTTCGTTGAGACCGAATATCCGAGGAGCTTCGATATTGATCATTGTTTGAAAGAGGATAGGTTCGATCGCGTTCCGCTCTCGAATTCTCGCAAACGACTCCTCCTCTCTCTCCGCAACGAACGACGGGTTCCCCGTTCCCTCCTACTCACCGTTCAGCACGTGTAGCTGCACGCTCGCGCTGTCCAGGTTGCTCGGGCTGCAAGTATAGTTACCCGAGTCCTCCCGCTTCGCGTCGTGGATCATGAGGCTGCTCACCGTGTCCTGATCGATTCGCTTCGTTTGAATGTCGATCTTGGCGAGCTGATAATTCAGCACGCGATCGCCCTCGTGGTACCAGAAGACGTAGAACGGGCCCTCGAGGGACTGCTTTATCACGCATCGTATCGCGACAGTACTTCCAGTCTTCACGTACATGTCACGGTCCCCCAAGATCTCGATCTTTGGCACTGCAACAGGTACGGATAGATCTCGCGCGGGTTCATCGCAGCGTGCTCGATCGAGTGTCGAACGAGGAGCAGAAGCGGGAGGGACAGAGATGAGGAGCAGGGCCGGTAGAAGGAGGACCGACTCGTCCTCCGCGACGCTCACCGACGATGTTGAGCTTGATGATGTGACTCTTCTTCGGGTCGGTCGAGATTTGGCACTCGTACTCGCCTTCGTCGCGCGCTTGGACGTACTTCACCTGCAGCGTCCACGTGTCCGCCTCCCCGAAAATCGCCTGGAACCTCTCGTCCGGTATGAACATGGTCCTGTCCACCGAGAGGATGTGCGAGTCCCTTCTTCTGATCCAGGAGACCTTCGAATCAGCCGAGACAAACGGTCACGCGCAATCGAAAACCCTCTCTCACGTTATCCCACCCCCCGACAGGCTCCAGCGAGACGAGTTCCTCGCGATTTTTCATCGCGACGCGGAGTGACACTATCGAGAGTCTCCCGGAACAGAAAGGGAAATGCCGATTATATCGCCCTCGTGTAATTACACCAAGCCCGAGTATCAGCGGACAGAGTCGCTGTCGCGCGAGTCATCCCTCGCGATCGAGTGGCCATCGTGAGCGGCGCAAAAAGTCGGCGCGCGCAAAAAGCTCGGCGGGAGGTCCGTGAGAGGGACAAAGGCTATCGAGGGAAAGAGAGAGAGAGAGAGAAAGAGCGAGAGAGGGGGGTAGGAAATGGCGAGAGGAAAAAGAAAAAACAACGTTGACGTGGGAGAGAGAATGATAAAGAGAGAGAGAGAGAGAGAAGAGGGTGTAGATTCGGCTTCTTCGGATCCCGGACGATGATTAATCTTGCCGCGCTCCCGCCGCGGTTAATTTATCGTTCATCGACCGGCGGAGAGACGGCCATCGAGGGCGGCGGTAGGTAGGGTAGTAATGGCTCGTGGGCGCGCGCGCGCGCCCGCCCGCCGGAAATCTAGATCCAGCGACCGTCGCCGTCGCTTTCTCCGCGTGTCGTCGAAAGAAGGTGAAGGTGGGTACGAATACATTTAATTCGAGCGGCCGATAAGGATCGCGGCGGCTGCGGCTCTCCCTAAGTACGCGCCGGCCCGGATTATACGAGAGAGTCGCGTGTTACCGGATACTTAGTCGTCGGCCGCGTGCCAACGGCGACAGGAGCACACCCCCGCGCGACCCCGAGCACGCCTGCGTACGTCCGAGGAGTTCGTTAACGAGAGAGACACGGGACCACCTTTGAAACGTGCGTGCCGCCGGGAATTTTATTACGCGACGACCCCTCCTCAGACGACGATCACGACGCGACCGTGAGACGTCGAGCCCGATGACGTTTCCGCGCGCGCCACCGACGGCTTCCGGTTACCGATCCGATTTACGCTAGAGAACGCCCGTGATAAAAATATGGTCACCGTATGTCTGATTTCTAATTGGTTACCGCCGTGTTTGAGTCAGCTTCCGGTTCGGACGTTTGTCAAAGGTCTTGTTTCCCAGCAAGAAAAGCGCCGACACACGAGTGTAATTGTATTATTCAATATCCTTTGCGTTACTATGTGCGAAATAAGGATATGATGAGGAGTAGTGATGTAACTAGACTCGTGTCCCTTGCTGGAAAACAACCAAAGTTATCAGCTGAGCGACAACCCAAGCAAACATTTGTTATTTACGAAGTCTACGAAGAGGATAAGTGAGTTCGTCTGTCTCATATTGTGATTAACTCTCTGGCAGTAAGGTGAAATTTGGAACACTATTGGTAAGGTTGGGTGAAATTTCACCCACAGAACTTATTATCGTTTCAGCAGCAAAATTGTACTCTTTTCAATATGATTGTATGATAAATAAATGAGTATAGTTTTTTAAAGCGTTTTTTACTAATCACGGGATACAAAAATCCGTTGACTTAAGTGGCAAACAAGAAATGTTATTAGAAAATCTACGCAGAAAACAAATGAGTTGTATAAGAAATGGATATTCTCATGTATAAGCAGGAATATTATAATCTTAGGTTTTTAGATGATTTGATTAAATTAAATTTGATTAAATTAAATTTGATTAAATTTGTATTGATGCAAATATCACTTAAACTCAATTCGAGATCCAGAATCTTCGAAGAAGATTATAATATTCTTGTTTATACATGAGAATATCTATTCTTGATTTAAGACAAACTTTTTTCTGTGTAGGATATATCTAACTAAGTCGACGTCTAAAAGGAGACCCGCCACGAGGACAAAGTCCGTTTGATTTTGAGTTACATTTCGCACGTGCAGAAGCACATAATTTCCCGTCCCATTTTACCCGAAGGATGGATTATTAATGTATTTCTGTTTGCACCTATTTTAATAATATTTGAACATTTCCGCGTATTATAGCTACGAACTTCTGGTTTTAACCCAAGCATGGCGGCCACTGTAGTACAGCCATGCTCTAGCACATGCGAGTTCCCAGGAAACGTCGGACGTGAGAGGCGCGTTTCTCATTAACGAATCGGCGCTCGTCAACGAGAGTCGCCGAGAGGCCGCGGTAAAAGTCTAGCGCGACGCGGAGAGCGGTTTCACAGCGGCGTGATGACATGAGAACGGATGATTATTTGTCACGCGGCTAACGAGATGGGTGTCGCGATTAGCCATTGAAAAATGTTAGTTATGATATTACGTTGTCCGCGCGGGCTCCTCGGACGGGGGAGGGACGATGGACGATGGCCCAAGGTCGCCTTTTTCCACCGCGAGTAGCCGCGATAATGAAAGAGGGATGATTGATAACGAAGGGTAACCTCGTCGTGCGCGCGCGCCGCACCGACTTGCCGATCGTAATCCGGCGCGGCCCCCGATATTAATAATAAAATGGAGAACGAGGTTTGCGCACGCGTGCGCGCTTGCGAGTACTTGCGTGTAAATAAATCTGCGTCCGTACATGCGGGGGAGCGCGAGGGCAGGAGACGGTGTCCGGGCGAAACGGGAACGAGGCAGTCATTTCGCCGAGCTCGCTCGCGCGCTCGACTCCGGCTATAACAATTTGTCGTTGTATTTTTAACGAGTCGTTATCGTATCTCAAATAGGGTCCCATTGTCGGGACTGTCAGGCAGAAATTTCGTCATTACCGAGCCGGTATCTGGCAAATAAGCTCGTTAATAAATCAAACTGTCAATAACGCGTAACGCGCGAGAGGTAACAACGCCGCCTGTCAAAGCGCCGTGGGCGAATGTGACAGGGACAAATTAAGCCTCGATTTGGCGGCGCGATGACATTTCTATTGCGATAAGAGCGCGTGAAATCGCGTCATCTTTCCGTAAAATTCGAGGCCCCCGTCGGACGACGAGAGAGAGAGAAAGAGAGTGAATAACGCGAAGAGACAGCGCCGCCGAACTCATATCCGCTTCTCACCCGTGCGAAACACTCGGCGACGCTCCCGGCGCTTTCTCTTTCTCTCTTCCGCGATATACATCGATTACACATTACATGCGGTCGTTGGCATAACTTACTGATTTGTTACCGAGCTGCCGCACTTTACACGGCAGGTAAGCATGAGTGCCCAACTGCGCCGTGATATTCGTTGGAGTGTTCGAGTCGAAGTAAGGCCCCGTGTAAATCCCGTCGAACCTCTTCACCAACGAATGGGATCTCGTGCTCACCCCTGAAAAGAGACGCATCGCCAGAGTGTCTCTCGCGTGTAACGCCGCTGTTATATCGCGAGATTGTGTGATTACGTGCGAACCGCGCGACTCGTAGAAACTAGGAAACGGCGCAATGCGGGAGAAACTAGAGAAAGAAAGAGAAAGAGAGAGAGAGAAAGAGAGAGAGACATGACGGAAAGAAATATGTTCCCCTCCGTCCCGAGACATCACGAATGCGTGAAACGGCGCTGCGTCCTTAAAACGTATAACCATAACTCGGCCGCGTCGTCGTAGCCGCCCCGTCGTCGGCACGTTATGCGGCAAATTAACATGGAAGAAGCGACGTTAGCGTCGCAATGGAATAATAAACCGACGGACCAGACCGCGCGCGAGAAAGGGACTATTCCGCATTCGTGCGCCGTATTCGCTCGCTCGTGCGCCCCGCTATTCAGAATAAATCCTATCGGAGACCCCGCCGAGGCGCCGTGCCTGAGGGAAATGGATACTAATCCCGGGGATTCCGATCTGGGAAATCTAAAGGCGGATCAGGATTCGGAAAGAGAGAGAAAGAGAGAGATATGCGTGGGCGTCGTTCCAACGACCTTGAGGATACCACATCCGATCTGATGTTGGATCGGTAGCACGCGGAATGTCGTCGGCTGACTCGGCCCGGATTTGCACGGCCGTTATGGTGACCGTAATTGCGGAGCGATTGCCAGGCACCGACTAAACGTGAAAAACGACGCCCCCGGCCACGACAAGGGGAGATGCCCCGGATTTTAGGTGGGAAAAAGCGGAACTTCGTTCGAATCACTGTATCAGTCCCTTGCGTTTGCATTTATTTAGATGATTCAATAGGCAGTGTTAGACAGAAAGATTGTGACACTTTTTCTGGTGAATTTCACAACACATCTCGTGTCCAATAGGAAAATGTATCTTGTGGAAATAATTAAGAAACAAATTCTCCTATTGAATATAAAATGCGTACGGATACTTGTTCGATAAAAGTGCCGCGACCTTTTCGTCCAGCATTGTACGTATCTATTTGGGCTGATACTTGGAAAGGAAGAAAATATACATTGCAACTCGCGTTATTTGCGTGCACAGAAAAAAATGTTGGATTCGAGTAAATAATTACTGTAATACTCGTTAGTAAACTTTCACTTGGATTAAAAACATTTTATCTGGTTCGGGTAAATGTTTGGCTTGAATAATTTACGTGGGAAACGTTTCACTTGGATCAAATAAATATTACTCGATCAAAATAAAAATATGCTAAAAAGCGTTGGAATAATTTTTTACTTGAATGTAGCACTTTTTTCTACATACTTTACGTAATCTCGTAGAATTATTTGAGGAATTTTGTTGTTATAAAATAAGAAGTTTATTATGAAATAAGAGTTTGTAATTAACAACGTACACCTTTGGCTCGCTCGAGCGCAACGTCCAGGAGACGTCAATCCAATGAAAGGGATTAATGGATGTTACGTTTGAATATTTTATCTTTTGTTCTCGCCAAAATGCACTCTTCACTAATTACTGAACTTTTGCTGTTCGATCCGACGATCTATTTTCGCCGATTCAATTTTACTCTTCGAATCTGACCCATTTTGTCGCTCGATTAATTAGCGAGGATCCGCAAATACATCGTGTATAATTAATACCTCTCGGGCTGCTGTGTGAGTTACGTAAGAAGGGAGCATGTGTCGTCGCGTTATCAAGATCCGCCGAAACTTTGACAAACAACAAAGGTGGCGATAATTACGCTTAATTAAGATCTCCAAGCCCGATAAGGCGCGGCGCGATAAGGCGTAAATATGAAATCGCCTGTACGATGCATATACGGGCACTGTGTAGCGCGCGCGGCGGCGTCGGCTCGGCTTATCGCGCATCGATTGTTCTACTTACGCGCAAGAAAATCACAGCCGCTGCAACAGCGGTAATTATTGTTTCAGTCAGGCTAAATGCGAAGCGATGAATCATAAATTAATCTCGACGGATAATCGGCGTGCTAAAATAAACAACAACGCCGCCGGGAATTTCCCTGATATTTTCTTTCGTACCGCTCAATCTTCGCCGCGAATTTCCGCTCGTGCTCTGAGAGCGAAACGAAGAAAAAAAGGGGAACGAAAATTAAGAGGAAACTCAGCGATCACGTTTTTTATCCACGAAGGAAATCTGTAACGGAGCAACTCCGTTACAGGCGTAACCTCGATCGCTCGTTTCTCCAGGGGAGGAATTACCGTCGAAAAATTACTGTCGGTTACATGCGAATTTTCCGCACACAGCACTTAAGAGCGACCGATAATAACGATGACGATAACGGTAATGACGATCGCGACGGAAGCACCCACCCCGGTTCTGTTCCGCTTGCTTTCGCCCCGAAAGCGTTCCGTGAATCACGACGTCTTCGTGATCCCGTGACCGACACGATTCCAACGTGCGAAAGCCACCAGATTGGCAATTAGCGTCCGGCAAACGGTGTATTGTCAAATATACCGGAAATACGGAGCTCGCATCGTAATATGGGGGTTGCGCTACCGGGGGATTCTCTCCTCTCTGTTTCCTTCCCTCTCTCTCTCTCTCTCATCGCGACGCGCAGTCGATCCGCCGCGATCTTGAGGGGCCGTAAAATCCGCGCGCGCACGCGCCCCCGCCGAATGCGGCGGCTGTGCCCTCGCAGCATCCGCGAGTCGGGGGATGATTTGCGTAGCGCGAAAGGGGGTTACAAATAGCGGCGCTCTCGCCGTCGCTCCTGCCGCGCGCATTTTTCACGTCGACGCGCGCGGCCGGTCGAATTACGCAAAGGTCAGCCGCGGCTTCGCGAGGAGATTGCGTAATGTTCTCATTTATCTCGAGATTAAATCGAGCCCGAGAGGGGGGGGGGGGGGGGGGTAGGGCAGAGTGCGGAACAAC